AAGAGAAAGTGTATCGCGGGCAAAAAATCCGGTGTGTCGCTGAACTGAAGGAACGAATCCGAACTTTCACAGGGCTCAATTGCCACTGCCATCCTCAAGTGGAAAGGGAGATTGAAGGCAGTTATTCGGCAGAAAGGTGGCCATATTGAGCCAAAAAGCGTGATTTTCAACTTTTTTCAGCGGAAAGTTTTTTTCAAATCAATTTATCTCCCGTGTTTTTCGGCGGAACTCAATTGCAACTGATATCATTGGAAAGCGAATTAAATGAACTTTCATTTCATTTTTGTTACATTATTCTAGCTCAATTTGGGACCGAGATATAAGGTTTCAAAGTAGAGGACCGGTTTTTTTTTACCCACCCTGTATATGTGGAATAGGACTGATTTTGGGCCTCCACTGGTAGTGGAGTGGAGGACACACTCGAGCGCTAAGGAATGGAAGCTGAGTTCGACGTGGTCTTGATAAGCAGGAAGGACGGTGCCCCAGTGTGACCTCCACTCCACTAACAGCAGGAGCTCTTGTCCATTCTAACTGTCTAATTTATTTTCAATAATTGCTGATAATATTGCTTTGCCTCAACAAATTCAGATGAAATTTGATATATCAGTTGGAAACATACCCATGTAAGCAAAAATAGCTCTCTTGTGAGAGGAAATCTTTGGGTTGAAAATCGATGGGTCATTTTTTTTTTTGCCATACTCAATATATTTTCTATCTTTGCCAGGGAAAGCCGGAAGTCCCCGCCTCATCTTGTCTCCGGCGAGATACAATTCCCTTCTCTTATCCGAGGGGCAACTGTGGGCGTGAACAGCTACATGGCTCTTTCTTCCGGCACCGTATCGTGAAAGCGAAAAAATATTTTTCATCCTTTTTAGAGAGGTGGACGGAGGTGGATGCGTTAAAAATCTCGCAAGCTATGAAGAGTTGAGAGATTAAATTTGGCATTGCGGTAATTCCAGAACTTGTGAGGTCACAAAGACGCGAACGTGGAAACAAAAATGATCAAAAATGAATACCAATTCAACGAAATAAACGAATCAGAAATGGCAAATGCCTTGCTTGTCGTGTGTCTCAGTCCTGGATTGCCCAGCATCCCAGATCCTAAGAAAAATGCTGTTCAAGCTGCTTTTCTTGCTGATGTAATTGATTGCAGCTCATCACAATACTGAATTAGAGTCGTTCACACGGAATTCCCAAAATAAAAGAGATAAATACGATCATGAGTGATAAATCTATTCCTACCCTCACATTACTCTCAGCAAAAATCTTAATGATTTTACGCACTTGAATGCAGGGATGGTCTGGAGGAATCCTGTAAAATTTATAAGTAACTCCCAGGAATGGATTTCAGCATGAAGGTAGAGCTTTTCAGCTTTTGACCAGGTTTGCTGTTCCAAAAAGTCTCTGAAACCATGAGAAAAATCTAAAAATCCTAAAATGTAAAAGAAAAAGAGAATATTGAAAGCGAGGACAACTTGACAAAAGGACAACTTGAACACCTTGAGGGGCGTCTTTAGGTTTCGAGTCAATGTGAAACGAAAAATGCGTTTGATCCCTTTGGAAGGATTTGGGAAGTATGAATGTAAAATCTCGCAATCAATGAAGAGCTGAAAGAAGAAATTCAGTATGGTGGTAGGTCTAGAATCCGTGGAGTCGTTAAAATGCGAAAGTAGGGATAAAAATAAACAGCAATTCGGAGAAATAGACGAATGAGAAAGGTGATGCAATTGCGTCTCTGGCACCTAAGTCCTTGAATGCTCAGCATCCCAGGTCCTATAAGCGGCGATGGTCTTCCCTTCCATGTTTTAATTGGTATTAGAATTGGGTGGAGCTGATCACAATATTGAACTCTAGCCGTTCACAGGAAATCCTCGACTTGGTTATCGGAAGAGATGCCAGCATGGAACGCTGATTGATCCATGACGATTGCATGAAAGGGTCAGCGATACATGTCACAAGAAACTCTGTTCTTCATTCCGTCTCTTAGCTTTGGCTCTACCTGCAAATGCTTTATGCAAAATGGTGAAGAGAATTAAAAAATAAAAGGTCCTGAAAATTTAAGTTTAATATTTTGTTGAATATCCAACATGCTTGTGAACAGCGGCTGCTTATGCACAGAAATAGGAAAAATATGAAAAAAATGAATGAACCTGATATCCTATAGATAGAAAGATATCCAAAGTTCATGCATGTTTCACCCCTTTTCACGGCTGCAGCGAAATTGCCTTGCATGAGGGATTTCAATTGAGCTCTGACAATAAACAGAAACGTCAACTTGTTCGTTATATCATTGCATGAAACTGTAAGACAGGTTCCTCGCAGGTTATTATGAGGTGCCTTGAAGCTCGTAAATAATTTATAGATCTCGTAAAGAATATAAACACCTGTTTTACAACACCAAGGGTCAGGCTATCTCGCTAGTCGGGGTTGCAAGCAGGCCTATTTCAAGAGTGATTAGATTAAGCGCCGACTTCAAAGAATCACAGAGTAAAACAATCTGCCGTATCTGCTCCAGGAAGGACACGAACGAAAAGCAAGATGTCATAACAAACATCGGAGTCTTTCAAGTATCTCCTGATTGGTAGATCTTTGCAATGCGATTGCTTTTCAAGAAATATGACTGGATGAGCTCCTATACTACCAATACTTATGGTTGCTTGATATATAGCAGGCTAACGGAAAGTTAGACTAGATTAAAGAACAAACCGGGGGCTACATTAAATCGTTATTTAATTAACATCGGGTGGTGCTAAGCTTTCCTACTGTGATGAGAAGCCTATTACGGGAGGACGACACGCCATGCTGTGATCTCGCTTGGGTGAATCCTCTCATGGCGGCCTTTTGTGGACCTTGTTGAACTGAGATTGCTGAAGGAGATAGGCGATTGAGACAATCCCGATCTTCGGGGATCGTTCCATTCCTTTCAACACTACGACAATGAGGAATTTTCACAGCATTTTCTCTAGTCCAAGCAAACAGTGCTGCATTTACTACCGCACCAGCAACTTCTTTTCTTTTCTCATACATTGCTGAAAATTCTGCAAAGGAAAATTGTGAATTTTACATCGCTCTCTCTGTCTCCTTTGTGCCATGGGAGACTCCAGCAGGAATCTGGACATGGTGATAAAAGTTGCATGGAGTATCATGAATTGCATGAGCATCTTCATGACGAATGAGTCTGTCATATCCCTACTGCAAATCCACCACTACATTAGCAATAATTATTCCAGTTTTTCAGCGCTCAAAAATTAGAAGCGTCTATCGTCTATAGATTTCACTGCACTTTTCCAAATTTAAATAACTGCAAACACACGGAAAAGAGTTTTTGGTACAGGGATGCGACAGAATAAATATTAAATAATATACTAGTTGTGGTCCACTGCTACCCTCACCGTTCCCTTTCCACAAGCAGCAAAGATAGACAGAAAAAAATGTAAGTTTCACATCCGCTGCACATCTGCCATCTATTCTCGTGTCTTCCTGCAGTAAAAAAGGTCTCATAAGAACATCCGATGTGCTAATGCTAGATGGTGATCCCTGAGGTTTTAATTCCCTCTGAATAATGTCTACTTAAGATTACCTCTAAACCCCCACCTTACCACCTAATTAAGAGCAACAAGGTGTGGCCAGCCTCTTTCCATCTCCCATCACTTTCATTAATACCTATGTTAACTTTGCATACCTTCAGATTCAAAAGAGGATGACATAGTTTCTAGATCAGAGACAAAAAAAAGTATCTTTATTGAAAAGTCTCTGGAAATGACGAAAAATCTGCAGCGTGGAATGCAGAAGCACGAGAGCCCATGGATGGAATGGGTAACCGAAGCGACTAAAACCACTTGCGGTGAAAAATCGACGGCCCGGATTCATCATATTCCTGCTTGGAAATCCACATCTGCTGGAATGTGGAAAGAGATGCCAAAATGGACCCTCCAATCCAAACTGAATACTTCCTCTCTGGTGCAGCAATGATTTTGATCTTCATGGTAGGGGGAGCCAAAGATGTTATTTCCTTTCGCATGCGATCAGCAATTCCTGGGAACATGGTGCTTCCTGAAAAAAGAAATGTCAAAAGTGCTTAGTTTTAGTAAAGGTTGAGATTTTAGAAAGGTGTTTCATTCTGGTAAGTGGGATGCCTCACCTCCAGACAGCACTGTGTTGGCATACAGGTCCTTCCAGATATCCTCATCGCACTTCATGATGGAGTTGTAAATGATTTCATGGAGGCCACAGGAATTCATGTCCGATGAGGACTGGAAGAGAGCCTCAGGGCAACGGAAGCGCTCATTTCCAATCGTGATCACCTGACCATCAGGCAGCTCATAAGACTTTTCCAGACTGCTGCTGCTGGCGGCTGTGGCCATTTTCTGCTCGTAGTCGAGGGCAACATAGCACAGCTTCTCCTTGATGTCTCGTACAATTTCTCTCTCAGCTGGAACAAGAAACCATCCACCAAAAATGAAACATCAACATTCCGTCAATTAGGAGTAATGATGACTTGAGTGTGAATAATCAAAGCACTTCAAGGATAACGTGATAGCTAGAGATCAATCTCATCCTATCTCAATAGTTACTGAAAGAATCAACACGAGTGACCCTCAAGGTGTTCCTCCCGCTCTTCAGGACTTCAGGCCATTAAAGTTGGTTTGCTCCTCACCTGTAGTCGTGAAGGTATACCTTCTCTCAATCAAGATCTTCATCAGGTAGTCAGTGAGGTCTCGGCCAGCCATGTCCAATCGAAGGATGGCATAAGGAAGGGCATAGCCTTCATAGATAGGCACAGTTTCAGTCACCATCGCCTGAATTCAAAACAATACCAGTTGTCCTGCCAGATGCATACAGGGATAGCAAATCCTGGATGGACACATACATGGCTGGGGTGTTGAAGGTCTCGAACATGATCTGGAAACAAGACACATGCAATGAGTATTTTGCAACTTAAGGTACTATGGGAGGATGAAAATCGACCCCCCTGGATCGAAATTCCGCTTTATAATTATTGTAAGGGACCTCAAGAAAGGGCCTTGGAGCCAATTGCTGACTCTCTGCGGTCACGCCCGGGGCCATGATTTGAGGTCAAAGGTCACGATTTACATGCCTCTATTTGAAAATCTGTATCTCCCCAACCCTTGGGTGCAGAAACGTCAAACTTATGCCATTCTCCTTGGGACATATCGCGCTAAATGTAAAAAATAAATGCATGCATGTGACTCTCGTTATCGAGACGCCATGGCGCCATAACTGCGAATTTTTCAGTTTTCGGATTCTGTTTTCTCGCTCTCATTCCTCGTAGAAATTTTCTATCGACAAAAGCATGCTACACTTTTTAGAGGCTATCCTGGTCCATCTTTTGGCGGAGTTGTGCATAGTTTCCTCCAACCGTTCCTTCTCAGAGTTCGACGATCCACGCGAAAATGCCACTTTTTTGGAAATCACTCGAGGTTGACGGACATTGCTCGAAAACGAAGCGGAAATTCAAAAATTCATCTGATAGATCTCTTAAGAAGTCTCTCA